GCATCGTTGTGGCACTGCAGGAGGCCCAGGATGGACATGTCGTCTGAGGAATGGGAGGGGGAGTTGAAATGGTTCGCGACTGGGAGGTGCAGTTGTTTAGTGTGAACCCAGCGTAGGTGTTCTGCAAAGTGGTCCCCAAGCCTCCGCTTGGTTTCCCCGATGTAGAGGAGGCCACAATGGGAACAGCGGATGCAGTATACCACATTGGCAGATGTGCAGGTGAACATCTGCTTGATGTGGAAAGTCTTCTTGGGGCCTGGGATGGGGATGAGGGGGTGAGGTGTAGTGGCAGGTGTAGCACTTCCTGCAGTTGCAGGGAAAAGTGCCGGGTGTGGTGGGGCTGGAGGGGAGTGTGGAGCGGACAAGGGAGTCACGGAGAGAGTGGTCCCTCCGGAAAGCAGATAAGGGTGGGGAGGGAAAGATGTCTTTGGTGGTGGGGTCGGATTGCAGGTGGCGGAAGTGTCGGAGGATGATGCGTTGGATCCAGAGGTTGGTGGAGTGGTACGTGAGGATGAGGGGGATTCTGTTTTGGTTGTTACTGTGGGGAGGGGGTGTGAGGGATGAGTTGCGGGAAATGCGGGAGACACGGTCGAGGGCATTCTCGACCACTGACGGGGGGGACGTTGCGGTCCTTGAAAAACGAGGACATCTGAGATGTACGGGAGTGGAATGCCTCATCCTGGGAGCAGATGCGGCAGAGGCGAAGGAATTGGGAATAGGGGATGGCATTTTTGCAGGAAGGTGGGTGGGAGGAGATGTATTCTAGGTAGCTGTGGGAGTCGATGGGCTTGAAATGGATATCAGTTTCTGGGTGGTTGCCGGAGATGGAGACAGAGGGGTCCAGGAAGGAGAGAGAGGTATTAGAAATGGTCCAGGTGAACTTAAGGTTGGGGTGGAAGGCGTTGGTGAAGTGGAAGAACTGGGAGCACGAGGCGGTGCCGATACAGTCATCAATGTAACGGAGGAAGAGGTGGGGTTTAGGGCCAGTGTAGGTACGGAAGAGGAAGTGTTCCACCTCTCCACCCCTCTCACCCACTCCAGCCTCTCCCCCGCAGAACGTGCAGCCCTCCGCTCCCTCCGCTCCAATCCCAACCTCACCGTAAAACCCACGGACAAGGGAGGCGCAGTTGTAGTATGGCGCACTGACCTCTACATCGCCGAGGCCAGAAGCCAACTCTCTGACACCTCTTCCTACCGCCCCCTTAATCATGACCCCACCCCCGAGCACCAAACCATCATCTCCCAAACCATCCACAACCTCATCACCTCAGGTGACCTCCCACCCACAGCCTCCAACTTCATTGTTCCCCAACCCCACACCGCCCGCTTCTATCTCCTTCCCAAAATCCACAAACCTGACTGCCCTGGTCGACCCATTGTCTCCGCCTGCTCCTGCCCCACCGAACTTACCTCCACCTATCTCGACTCCATTTTCTCCCCCTTAGTCCAGGAACTCCCTACCTATGTCCGTGACACCACCCATGCCCTCCACCTCCTCCAGAACTTGCAATTCCCCAGTCCCCAACACCTCATCTTTACCATGGATGTCCAGTCCCTATACACCTGCATTCCCCATACAGATGGCCTAAAGGCCCTCCGCTTCTTCCTGTCCCGCAGGCCCAACCAGTCCCCCTCCACTGACACCCTCCTCCGCTTAGCTGAACTGCTTAGCTGAACTCGTCCTCACCCTCAACAACTTCTCTTTCAATTCCTCCCGCCTCCTACAGACAAAGAGGGTGGCCATGGGTACCTGCATGGGCCCAAGCTATGCCTGCCTCTTTGTAGGTTACGTGGAACAATCCCTCTTCCGTACCTACATTGGCCCTAAACCCCACCTCTTCCTCCATTACATTGATGACTGTATCGGCACCGCCTCGTGCACCCACGAGGAGCTCGAACAGTTCATCCACTTCACCATCACCTTCCACCCCAACCTTAAGTTCAGCTGGACCATCTCTAATGCCTCTCTCTCCTTCCTGGACCCCTCTGTCTCCATCTCCAGCAACCACCTAGAAACCGATATCCATTTCAAGCCCACCGACTCCCACAGCTACCTAGAATACACCTCCTCCCACCCACCTTCCTGCAAAAATGCCATCCCCTATTCCCAATTCCTTTGCCTCCGCCGCATCTGCTCCCAGGATGAGGCATTCCACTCCCGTACATCTCAGATGTCCTCGTTTTTTAAGGACCGCAACCTCCCCCGCCGTCAGTGGTCGAGAATGCCCTCGACCGTGTCTCCCGCATTTCCCGCAACTCATCCCTCTCACCCCCTCCCCGCAATAACAACCAAAACAGAATCCCCCTCGTCTCACGTACCACTCCACCAACCTCTGGATCCAACGCATCATCCTCCGACACTTCCACCATCTGCAATCCGACCCCACCACCAAAGACATCTTTCCCTCCCCACCCTTATCTGCTTTCCGGAGGGACCACTCTCTCCGTGACTCCCTTGTCCGCTCCACACTCCCCTCCAGCCCCACCACACCCGGCACTTTTCCCTGCAACTGCAGGAAGTGCTACACCTGCCCCTACACCTCACCCCCATCCCAGGCCCCAAGAAGACTTTTCACATCAAGCAGATGTTCACCTGCACATCTGCTAATGTGGTATACTGCATCAGCTGTTCCCATTGTGGCCTCCTCTACATCGGGGAAACCAAGCGGCGGCTTGGGGACCATTTTGCAGAACACCTACGTTCGGTTCACGCTAAACAACTGCACCTCCCAGTCGCGAACCATTTCAACTCACCCTCCCATTCCTCAGACGACATGCCCATCCTGGGCCTCCTGCAGTGCCACAACGATGCTACCCGAAGGTTGCAGGAACAGCAACTCATATTCCGCTTGGGAACCCTGCAGCCCAATGGTATCAATGTGGACTTCACAAGCTTCAAAATCTCCCCTCCCCCTACTGCATCCCAAAACCAGCCCAGCTTGTCCCCCCCTCCCTAACCTGTCCTTCCTCCCACCTTAAGCCCCACCCCCATCTCCTACCTACTAACCTCATCCCGCCCCCTTGTCCTGTCCATCCTCCCTGGACTGACCTATCTCCTCCCTACCTCCCCACTTCCACTCACCTTTACTGGCTCCATCCCCGCCTCTTTTACCTGTCTGTCTCCTCTATCCATCTTCTATCCACTTCCCCCTCTCTCCCTATTTATTTCAGAACCCCCTTCCCCTCTCCCATTTCTGAAGAAGGGTCTAGGCCCGAAACGTCAGCCTTCCTGCTCCTCTGATATTGCTTGGCCTGCTGTGTTCATCCAGCTCTACACCTTGTTATCTGAGAAGAGAGAGTTCTTTTTGTTGACTGCAGTGCCTGCACAATGAAAGGTTTGAAGTTACAGGATGATGGCATCTAAACTCTGCCCTAGTAATCACTGTTATCACTTTAGAGAATTGTAGTCAATTTGCATCATGTGTTTAACATTTGCCTTTTTGTGACTAACAAGCGATCTTTTCTAAGTAGACAGGATAATAACATTGATTAAAATAGATGATTTTGATCTCATATATAAACACAGAAAGTTCTGGAGAAACTCCTGCAAATCTTGCACTACATGTGGAGAGAGAAACTCAGCTAACATTTTGTGTCTCATGTGGAACTCAAAACATTAACTGTTTCTCTCTCCGCAGATGCTGCTTGAGTTTTGCCAGCATTTTTGATTTTATTTCAGATTTCCAGCATCTGCAGTTTTTCAATTGTGTTTTTGATCTCTTTCCCGTCTTATCGATGTTAGTTACATTAGTCAGTTTCTTCTCCAGTTCAGATTTTTATTCGTCATCCTCGGCAAAGTGAATTGCTGCTATAGGAAGCTTTTGGTTTATGTGCTTAATAGATGCAGTATCATCTCTGTATCCAACATGGCAGTTGGGAGATCCAAAGTAAGTAAGCTTCATGCCAAATTAACATTTTGTCAAGGAACTGATGTGTTGCAAATGGGCAGCTGGTGCATCTTGCTATGTTCTCAGCCTACAACTCACTCTGCTAATGTAATTGAACTGCATTTGGGAGATTACAAGTAGTAAACCAGGGAAAAACAAACTGAAACTGCCTGAAGCAGATTGTCATAATTATCGGTTATCAGTTCTTCAGTTTTCCATCTATATTTCTGTTGTAGAACTCAGCCACAGGCAAGTTGTTTCTTGATGATGGGCACTCGTTCAACTATAAGAACAAGAATCAATTCTTACTCAGGAAATTCAGCTTCAAGGACAATACATTTTCATCAGTGTGAGTAGTATTGACAGTTTAGCTTTCAATTTTTCTTATTCAGAGTTTTGGGTCAAAAATCTCAACTTTTTGAAGTAGCTGGCTATTAATAGCCTTTGGTCATCATGAAGAAGCACATCTGGAAGAGTAATACCTCAATGGTAATTTTAATAAAGTATATAACCAAGAGAACTCGATTCAATAATGCATTTTACTTGATGGCTATTTCTAAATCAGTGCAACTGTTACTAGGTTCAACATGCAATCACTTTCTGAAGTGAAGGTGGACACTAATGCCCATTATAAGAAGAGACTCTTGCAGAGAAAAAGTCAAGTCACAATTTCTACAGCAGTAATTTACATAGCATAGTAATAAAGTAAATTCCCATCGAGAAGATGCCAGTAAGGTCCATGACTTCCCACAGATGATAGGTCACACCTTCCATTTGACTCCTAATTGTCAGATATGATTCAAGGGCACTCACAACCCCTTTTCTCATTGTGAACTGAAGACATACTACTTAAGGTCCATAAGATGGTAAGAAATAAGAATAGAAATAGGTTGTTGGTACCTCGAGCCTGCTACACCATTCAGTAGTATCATAGCTGACCCTGCATGCCTCGCATCCACTTGCCTGCCCTTTTCCCGTAACTCTTGATTTCTCAAATAATCAAGAATCTATCTCACCCTTAAGTATACACAAGGACTTGCCCCCACAGCTGTTCCAAAGACTCTTAAATGTCTGAGAGAAGAAATTTCTCCTCACCTCAGTCTTAAATTGGTGTCCCTTTATTCTCAGACTGTGCCCTCTCAACATTTAGTCTGTCAACCCCGTTAAAAACCTTAGATGTTTCAATGAGATCACCTCATTCTTAGAGCATAGAACAACACAGCACAGGGGCAGGTGCTTTGGCCCACCATGTCTGTGCCAACTATGATGCCAATCTAAACAAATCTCATCTGCCTGCACACGGTCTGTATGCTTCTATTCCCTGCTTGTTCACTTTTCTGCCTAAATGCTTCTTAAATGCTTGCTATCATATTTGCTTCTCCCATCTTCCTTTGCAGTGTCAAGCACCTACCGATTTCTGTGCAAACAACTTGCCTCACACATCTCCTTTAATCTTCCCCGAACCCCTCCCCTCCCACTTAGTATTTGACATTTCCACCCTGGAAAAAGGACTCCGACTATCCACCCTATCCACACCTCTCATAATTTTAGATACTTCTATCATGTTGCTGCTCTGACTGCCAAGTGAAAACAATCCAAGTTTGTCCAACCTCTCCATATAGCTAATACACTCCAATCTAGACAGCATCCTGGTAAACCTCTTCTGCACCCTCTCCAAAGCCTCCACATACTTCCTATAGTTTGGCAACAAGAACTGCACACAATACTCCAAATGTTGCTTAACTAAAGTTTTATTCAGCTGCAACATGACTTGCCAGCTTTTATATTAAATGTCCCAACCAATGAAAGCAAGCAAGTCATGTATCATCTTTACTACATTATCCACATGTTGCCACTTTCAGGGAGCTATGGACCTGCACCCCAAGATCCCTCTGTATAACAGTGCTCCTAAGGGCCCTGCTATTTACTGTATACTTGCATTTCACTTCCTAGAATGCATCACCTCACACTTGTCCGGGTTAAACTTCATCTGCCATTTCTCTACCCAGTTTTCCAGCTGGTCTAAATCCAGTGACAACCTTCTGAAGTATCCATAACTCTATCAACTTTCATGTCATCTGCAAAGTTTCTATTCGGATCACCTACATTTTCATCCATTTATATATAGCACAAACATCAGAGGTTCTGGCACTGATCCTTGTGAATTACTGCTGGTCACAGACCTCCAGTCAGAAAATCACCCCTCACAATTGCCCTGTCTTCTAAGACCAAGCCAGTTTTATATTCAACTTACCAACTCGATATGGATCTCATGTGACTTAATCTTCTGGACCAGCCAACCATGTTGGACCTTGTTAAATGTTTTAGTAAAGTTGACTGCATCCACTGCCCTACCCTCATCAATCATCTTTGTCACTTCCTCAAAAACCTCAATCTAATTTGTGGGACAAGACCTCCCTGCACAAAACCACGCTGACTTTCCCAGTAAGCTCACTTTTTCCAAATGTGGGTAAATCCTGTCCCGAAGAAACCTTTCCACTAATTTCCCTACACTGATGTAAGGACTGCAGCCTAAAATTTCATGACTCACCCCTGCTGCCCTTAAATGAAGTAACAATATTATTATTCTCCAGTCTTCTGGGACCTTGTCTGTAGCTAAAGAGGATACAAAGACCTCTGTCAAGGCCCCAGCAACCTCCTCCCTTAGTACATCAGCATTCTGAGATAGATCCCATCAGGCCCTGGGGAATTATCTGCCTTAAACTTTTCCAAGACAGCCAACACCTTTTCCTCCTTATTATTGACATGCCGTGGAATATCAACGTACCAATATATGTATAAAATGCCTTGGGATTCTCCTTAATCCTGCTTGCCAAGGTCATTTCCTGGCCCCTTTTAGCCTTCCTAGTTCCTTGTTTAAGTATTTTTTTCCTGCTTTCTTTATATTCCTCAAGGGCCTTGACTGATTTCAGTGTCCTACAGATGCTTCCTTTTCATTTTTGACTAATCTTTCAATATCTCTTGTCATCCAGGGTTGCCGAATTTTGCCATCCTTATCTTTCATCCTCACAGGAACATGCTGGTCCTGAACTCTGAGCAACTGGCTGTCAAAGTATCAAATATGGATTTACCTTCAAATAGCCAGCCCAATCTAATTTCTCCAGTTCCTGCCTAATATTGTTGTAATTAGTCATTCCCCAAATTAACACTTTCACCTGAGGACTAGCCTTATCCTTATCCATAACTATCTTAAAACTTACGGAATTATGATCCTTGTTCCCAAAATGCTCCCACTGAGACTTTGATTATCTGGCCTGGCACGTTCCCTAGTACAACCCTTCCCTAATTGGACTATCTACATGTTGTTTCAAAAAGCCCTCTGGATGCACCTAACAAATTCTGTCCCATTTAAGCCATTGGCACTGAGGGAATCCCAGTCAATATTGATGAAATGAAAATTAGCCACTACAGCAACGCTGTTGTTTTTACGTCTTTCCATGATCTGCCTACATATCTGTTCCTTTATCTCCCTCTGGCTCTTTGGAGGGCCTATAGTATAACCCCATCATAGTCATTGCACCTTTCTTATTCCTGTGTTCTACCCATATGGCCTTGCTGAATGAACCCTCCAAGATGTCCTGTCAAGGTGTGCTTAATCAGTAATGCAACTCCCCCACCCCGTTTACATCCTTCACTGTCATGCCTGAACCATTTAAACTCGGAAACATTGACCTGCCAGTCCTGCCCTTTTCTCAAACAAGTTCCTGTAATGGCTACAACATCGTAGTTTCATGTACTGCTGCCGTGTTCATTAACCTGGCCCTGCCTGTTCTTCCTGTCAGACTTATTTCACTTAACCTCTACCTTCTCCTCAATCACTGCATATGCTGACCGACTACACTGGTTCCCACACTCTGCCACCCTAGTTTAAACAATGTCAAGTGGCACTAGCAAACCTCCCTGCAATGATATTGGTGCTTCCCCTGTCCTTCTTGTATAGGTCTCGCCTGCCTTGGAAGGGATCTCATTGATCCAGATTTCTGAAGCCCTCCCTCCTAAACCAACTCTTTAGCCATGCTTCATCTGTATTATCTTCTTATTTCTGGCCTCACTAGCATGCGACACAGGGAGTAATCATGAGATTTCGAGCCTAGATGTCCTGTCTTTTAACTTTATTCCTAACTCTCTAAGTTCCCTTTGCAGGACCTCATCTCTCTCCCTTCATGTTGTTAGTATCAAGATAGACCACAACCTCTGGCTGCTTACCATTCCCTCTCAGAATGATCTGTGTTGCTCAGAGATGTTCTTGACCTGGCACCAGGGAGGCAACACACCATCCTGGAGTCTCACTCACAGCCACAGAAATGCACATCTGTGCCCCTGATTATAGAGTGCCCTATTACTACCGCTCGCCTGCACTTCAACCCTCCCTTCTGTACTGCTCCCGTGTGAGTTTGCCTCCCTTTCTATGCCGACAGGGAGGAAAAACTTTCAGAATCTCCCAGAATTGTCCTCAGTTACTTCTCACTACCTCTTCCTATTGAGCACCGGGTCTTCTGCAATCCCCTTCTCAGTTGTAGTGTCCAAGCCAATTCTCCCAGAATCCTCAGTCATATCTCATTACCCTACTTTGAACTCTAAGGTGAGGAAAGCTTTCCGAAGGTCTTAGTGTCAATGTGTGGGGTTGATGGCCATTGTTGTAGAGGTGGAAGCAAGAAGTATGGGTGAGGCTAGGTTGTAGGTTTGAAATTGAACTTTGGGTAGCATTGACAATGTCAGTAAAATTGCAGAGTCTTTGGTCTGCCACAGAAATAATATTAAGGATCTAATCTTCCATGAAGCAAAGGGGGCTCACAAAGAACTGACTTATCTGGGATCAGCTGTAAACGAAGCAAATGTTATCCAGCAAGTATGATTAACAAGTCCCTGGTCAATCTTTTGAAAATCACTTAGAAGTTGGTGGGTAATAGTGAAAAATCGGCTGAGATCATTCGCCCTAGTGTTGTTTACTGTCCCAGCTTGCTAAGGATTCCCAGATTAGGTCTAATTAGTAATAGGCAAGGTGAATCAATCATCCCAGCTGCTCAGCATCTCCATGGACAGAATATCAGACAATAGCCTTGGCTGTGATTTGAAATATTTCTTCAAACCTACCTCTTTTATGATGATTTTGGTCATCTACCCTAGTACCTCCCTATGTGGCTAACTGTCATGCTTTATCTTGTATATTCCTTTGAAGCACCTTGATAATTTCATTAACTTAAAGGCACTGAACAAATGTAATTGTTACTCAGCGTTGAGGCTTACTACCTCTGTAAAGGCTAAACTGTGTAATTGTTATCTCTTCTGTTAAGGTGTGCTGATGAGAAGGGACGGTACTGCACTGAGTGTGTGGTGGAGAGGATCCTTGTTATGGGAGCTGCAAGTCCTACATGTGTGATGGCATGGCATCCAGGTACATAAATTGACCTAACTATTCTCTGTGAACCATTGTCACGGAGAATTTTGTACAGCTGAGTAATCACAAAAAACTGTTAGAAATACACAATAGAGCCGGTAGTATCTGAAAGACTTGACAAGCACTGAGGAAGTTGTAGGGATAGTGATTAAGGGAACCCCACTGGAAGAAAGACCAGGAGAGTTGCCCGGTGGCATTAGACTGATTTTTATTTCTGATACCGTTACCCAGGAGAGGGTAGGAGAGAAAATGGATGTGTTATTAAAATAAACTACTCTGTTTCTGACTAAGCAACCAAATGAGATTGGCTTTGTAGAAAACAGGCAGTAGAATGATTCAAAATATTTGCCTCAGGGCAGCTGTACATAACTGTTGCTTTGACTTTCTGAGAAAATCTAAAAGGCGGAAAGGAATTGACAGGATAACAATTTGTCTGGAATGTGCTTCCATTCATACTGCCCGTCAGAAGCTGGGTTTCTGACCCCATATTTTCTGCATCACCAGGACTGCCCATTTCCACCTTTGTAACATTATTAATCCATCTATGCTGAAAGCCTCATCCATGTGTGTATTAACTCCATACTTGACTATTCCACTGCTTTTTGGTTTGTTCTCCCATCTCCCACCCTCCATAAACTTCCTTTTATCTAAAGCTCTGCTGTTGTAACTTGTACCAAGTCCTATTCATGTGCTTTGTGAGCTATCTTAACTCTCAGTCCAACCACTCTTCAAATTCAAAATTTGTATCTTTGTGTTTGGATTTTTCCATTTGTTCAAACCACCTCTCTAACTCCCATTCCCCACCCTTATTGCATCTCCCCAATCACCTCCTTGTGGGGGAAAAAAAATACAGTAGTACCTGTACATGGAAATGAGTGTACTGGTCATACAGAAGCTCAATTTTGATGTATATGAATTGGGCCAGTGTATTCACCAGTTTTACTATTTTTTCCCTTCTGGAGAATGCCTTTATCTCTGTAACCTTTTCAACTCTTACGGCTCTCAAATAACTTAATATTTTTCCAACTCCACTCTTATCTATTCCTGAATTTACTCACTCCATCATTGCCTAGGCCCTATGACTTGGATTTTCTTTTCTGAGTCTCTCTGCGTCTCTTTCCCTTATGACGCTCATTTTAATCAAACTCTTTGACCAAACATTTTGTCACTTGTCCTAATATCTCTTCAAATGACACAATCAAATTCAATTTTTGCTGTATTAGGACACTATATAATTCAAGCTGTTGTTGTATTCTTTGATACGCCACTCTGGTATTAGTGATATTGCTGACCATTTTGTAATTTCCGTTTACAGATGGACAAGAGAGCACAGTGCATTTCTCCTATAATGCGGGCAAGTCCTCTTTAAACATTGAAGGTCTGCGTCTTAATTTAGGGTGTGACTGGACGCTGAAGTTTCATTACTGATGGGCAGACATTGAGCTATCTGTATCAAAGTAGAAGCGTTCTTCATTTGAATTCATGGTCAACTGCTGTTCTGGTGTCAGTTCTATGGGGAGATGATGGAATGTCACTGGACTAGTCATCCAAAGACCCAGTCAAATGCTCTGGAGTTAAAATCCCATCAGGTCAGTTGAATTCAATTAATAAATCTGGAATATAAAGCTAGACCCAGAAGTGATGACCATGACAACTCGTTAATTGTTGTAAAGCCCCATGGTTCATTGATATCCTCAAGGGAAGGTTATCTGCCATTCTTACCTGGTCTGGTCTATATGTGACTCCAGACCACCGCAATGTGGTGATTCTTCGCTAAACTGTCAATGAGTGGAGAGGCAATTAGGAAACAGCAATAAATGCTGACCTTGTCAGTGACACCCATAGCCCTTCAACAGATTAAATTTGTGCCAAAAATCCAATCTTTTGTTGGATATTTTAAAGCCCTGTGACTTTCTAATTGCTATTACATGAATACCTCTTATTTTTTTCCCTGTGTTAAGCTAATTGACATAATCTAACTGAAGTATAAACAGTTATACATATTTAAGCATAAGGCAACCTAACTCTCAGATTTTCAATCTCTTAGAGGACAGTTAGTGAAACATGGAGCAGGTACTTTCCAGATTTGATCCGCAGTGTGTGATCTTGACCAAGACAGTAGAGCTAGTACAAACTACAGGGCAGTGACTCCTACAGAGATGTGCATATTTGTAGATCTCATGTCAGAATAAAATTGGACTGAGCTGTGCTGCTTTTTTTCAGTTTGAGAAGCCTGTTGATCTCTGTTTCTAGGTTGACACATTGAATGGCTAATTGAATTAGAGCTGGCTTAGACATTAACCTATGCTTTTGGGAATTGTAGCCACAGATGAGTCATACCCTTTAAAGTAAGGAAATAAAGTTGATTCTGTGTTCACCAATAGGATTGTAAAGCATGTTTACTAGAAATGTGACCACTTTTGGTGGCATGAGGCCCACAGCTGTATTAGAGGTTTATTGTAAAATGTGCCATACTAATCAGAAAATAAACTGATTGACAGTGTAAGGTCAAATGTTTAAAAAAAAAAGAAATTTCTTGTAACACAATAGGTCACAGCTTACTTAAGCTGGTTTGATGAAAGCTCACAGACCTGAACCATTAACTCTGTTTCCCTGTCCATGAATATTTCTTATCTTGTTAAGTACTGTATTTCCAGTGTTTTCTGTTTGTATAACTTAAGCTGGATTGTGTAATTTGATGCCAGTTTCTGCAGGGAGACATCTTCTTCCATGTCAGACCAGCAGCAGACTTTGGACTCCTATAACTCACATTGGAAGGACAAACATCCACCATCACAGGCCCCCACATTGTCATTTAATCTGCAGATCTTCGACCTGATCCGTTGGTTGTGGAATAGCTTAGCCCTTGTCTATCACTTGCTGCTTGTGCTGTTTGGCATGAAAGTAGTCTGCTTTGTGGCTTCACCAACTGCTCATTTTTAGGTATGCCTTGTGCTGCTCCTGGCGTGTCCTGCGCTCTCCATTGAACCAGGGTGACCCCTCTAATGATAGAATCAGGAATATGCCAGGTCATTGGCGGGTTGTGTTGCAGTATGATTCTGCTGCTCTGTGTCTTCGGTTGCTGTATCTTTTCAAAGTCTGTTTCGTTACACAACACAATGTAAGGTATTATTGCTGTGAAGATAGGACTTCACCTTTACAAGGACTGTGCGGAAGTCACTTTTGCTGAGCAGGAAGTGCACCAGCTGCTATATGGCAAATTAAGGGTGATTAAAAACCACAAATGTTCCTGCACCACTCAGAAGATTTATATTGCTACAAATGTTCAGATTCTTTTGCAAAATTTCTATTATAAATTGTTGCATTTGTCTCTCAGTCACCAAGAATTGTTAATAAAATAAACTGTTGTCTGATGAATAAGGTTTTATTTATCTGTTTCAGCTTTCTGCCCTGTTTCAATTGTTAATAGACAAAGAAGAAATATAAATCTTTCCATTTATTCTGGAGAAGCTTCCTATTCCAAAGGACCACTTTATGTTTTTTTTTGTTGGATCCTTTAGGAAATGTCTTTGAAGGCACAGGAGAGCCAAATTAAGAGCATTTCTTGAAGGTTTTCTTCATCCCTGCAGTGTTATCATGGTACTACAAACAATCCTCAAACCACTTGTATTCTTCTGGTTCATGCTTGAAAGACTTTTTGCTTAGAATTTGAATTTGAGAGTCATGTTGGGATTTTCATGAACCACGTGTGTTTTTCGGACAATCCCTGCAAATTATTAAGTTTATTGACTTTCAGTTTCACAAATGACCTAATTAAAGTACAGGTATTTCTCCTATAACACGATAGTTGCGTTCCTGTGTGACCTTGCGCTATAGAAAATCGCCATAGAAAATCACGTGAAAGGAAATCGCTATACCTGTACAGCAGACAGTTCATATTATCCAAATAGTGTCCACTATTGATCAATCACATTACAGCCAATTTGCATAAACGAAACATGCATTATGGAGAAATACCTGTAATGAATTTAGTTCTGTAATCATGACACTATTGCACCTCTGTATTTCACTTTTCACACTGTCAGCCCATTCAAGATTGTTCCACATCTGCTGCCAGTTAATCTCGAACAAATCTAAGAGGGTTGTCACTGCTCAAAATGTGTATTTTTTTTACTCAGAGATAGCAAGAACTGCAGATACTGGAGTCAGAGACAACACAGTATGGAGTTCATCCTCCAGCTCCATACTGTGTTGCCTCTATATTTTTTTTAAACTTTTGTCTTCAGATTTTTAGCATTCTTAGATTCCAGATCCATTGCATTGAGTAATGTTTAGTGGGTTTTTATATCTCTTGAAGAAAATTTTATGGAGTAATGAAAGCTCTAAAACTCTGAATATACTGCTTTATCCATTTGATCATAAGAAGGCTATTGATTGTGAATTCATTTAACATGAGTAATTTCTTGAACTCATTGTATCGAATGGTAGGTGCTACTACATCAAATACAACTGTTAGATAATAGATTTTCCAGTCAAATCGATCAACAGATATCTTCTGTTCACAGGAACTTTCAGTTTAGTAGATTAGCTTTAATTTACAAACTTTATTCAATATAACATATATGACACAAAACCTAGATGTTAAAAGGTGAAAACTAACTCGCAGTTTTCTTTTGCTGTAATCTACATAAAAGTCTTTTCAGTATCTTCATTCTGGATTCCTGACTCTTCATGGACTTCCTTAGTAGAAGTAGTAGTTTTGAAGGCAGATCTTTAATCGTTCATGATGTGATGATTTTATTGTAATGAAAGGTGTGCAAGTTAAGAGTTCTTCAAGTTGTTGAGCGGCGTGAGTCCGGAAGAGAGCACGAGGGCAGCCTGGGAAGGTCACCTAGATGCCAAATCCTCTGGAAGCAGTTCGGAAGGCAAAGCCGGAGTCTGTTTGAGTATAAAACGGAGTAAACTTACTGGTGCAGAGAACACTGCGAAACTAAAAAAACTAATTAATTTAAAATAATTAACTAAGTAGAGATGGCAGGTCAGGTGATGTGTATGATGTGGGAGCTAGCTGATCCCATTGAGAACAGCAGTGACCACATCTGCAGCAAGTGTTGGCTGCTTGAGCTTTGGCTCAAAATTGATGAGTTGGAATCCGAACTCCAAACACTGCGGCACATCTGGGAAGGGGAGAGATACCTGGATGCTGTGTTCCAGGAGGCAGTCACACCTCGTAGATTAACTAATGTTAATTTGATCGTTGGGCAGGGACAACAGGGTGTGACTGCGAGTGAGGCAGGTAGAGGGACCCTGCAGACAGGAACACAGCAGCCGCAGCCCTTGACATTGTCCCACAGGTATGAGGCACTTGCTCCCTGGGTGGATGAGGAACAGGGCTGCAGGAAGGATGAGTCAACTGACCATGGCACCATGGTCCAGGAAGCCATTCAAGAAGGGGGGAGCTAAAAGACAGATTGTAGTTGCAGGGGATTCCATCATCAGGGGGATAGACAGTATCCTTTGCAAGCAGGATAGAGAATCCCGCATGGTGTGTTGCCTGCCTGATGCCAGGGTGCAAGACCTCTCTGACCGGCATGAGAGGATACTAGAGAGGGAGGGGGAGGATCCAGTTGTTGTGGTCCACGTAGGTACCAACAACCTAGGCAGGACTAGGAAAAAAGACCTGTTTCGGGATTATGAAAAACTAGGAACAAAATTAAAAAACAGGTCTTCAAGGGTCGTAATCTCTGGATTGCTGCCTGAGCCACGTGCAAATTGGCATAGGGAGGCGAGGATCAGGGAAGTAAACATGTGGCTAAAAGAGTGGTGTGGGAAAGAGGGTTTCCTTTTCATGAGGCACTGGCATCAGTTCTGAGACCGGAGGGATCTATACCGCTGGGATGGACTCCACCTGAACAGAGCCGGACCCAGTGTTCTGGTGAAAAGTGTACATAGGGTGGTCGATAGGACTTTAAACTAGTAAGTAGGGGGGAAGGGAGGAGTGAGCGTAGATGGAAAATAACAATTATGTAAGGCAAAGCAGCAGGTTAGCAGGTGACGAGGAAGCTTCAACTCCATTGAAAATTAGGAAAAAAGTTACAGGGAAGGAGAACTCAAGAACTGTTAGTAATGGAGGTGATAGGACCCAAAAAAAAAGGTGCAAAAACTGGTATAAGGGCACTTTATCTGAATGCTCGGAGCATTCAAAACAAGGTGGATGAGTTGACAGCGCAAATCATGGCAAATGGGTATGATTTGGTGGCCATTACAGAGACATGGTTGCAGGATAGTCATGATTGGGAGTTAAATATCCAGGGGTATTGAACTGTTCAGAAGGACAGACAGGAAGGTAAGAGAGGTGGTGTCGCTCTGATTTTTAAGGATGATATCAGGGCAGTAGTGAGAGATGATATAGGGTCTACTGAACAAAAGGTTGAATCCATTTGGGTGGAAATTAGAAATAGCAGGGAGAAGAAGTCACTGATATTTGGTGGCCTATAGACAACACCTAATGACATTGTGGTGGGGCGTGCAATAAACATAGAAGTCGCTAATGCATGTAAAAATGGTACAGCAATTATGATGGGGGATTTTAATCTACATATCGCTTGGTCAAACCAGGTCAGCCATGGCAACCTTGAGGAGGGGTTCATAGAATACATCTGCAATAATTTCCTTGAACAATATGTAATGGAACCTACAAGGAAAAAGCTATCCTAGATCTAGTCCTGTGTAATGAGACAGGAATAATTAATGATCTCACAGTTAGCGATCCTCTCGGAAGGAGCGATCACAGTATGGTCGAATTTAAAATACAGATGGAGTGTGAGAAGGTTAAATCCAGTACCGATGTCCTGTGCTTAAACAAAGGAGACTATGATGGGATGGAGGAGGAGTTAGGCAAAGTAAAATGGGAGCAAAAACTTTATGGTGGGTCAATTGAGGAACAGTGGAGGACTTTCAAAATGATTTTTCACAGTGGTCAGCAGAAGTATATTCCAGTGATAAGGAAGAACTGTAGGAAAAGAAATAGTCAACCATGGATGTCTAAGGAAATAAAGAAAAGTATCAGATTAAAAAAAAAACAAAAAAGCAAAGATTAGTGGGAAACTAGTAGATTGGGAAATCTTTAAAGGCCAACAGAAAGCCACAAAAAAAAGTTATAAAGAAAAGTAAGATAGATTATGAGAGTAAACGAGCTCAAAATATAAAAACAGGCAGCAAAAGTTTCTATAAATATGTAAATCATAAAAGAGTGGCGAAGGTAAACGCTGGTCCTTTAGAGGATGAGAAGGCCAATTTAATAACTGGGAATGAGGAAATAGCCGAGGCATTAAACAGTTACTTTGTGTTGGTCTTCACAGTAGAAGATACAAATAACATGCTGAAAACTGATGGCAAGAAGGTTATAGCAGGTGAGGACCTAGAAACTATCATCACTAAGGAGGCAGTACTGGGTAAGCTAATGGGGCTAAAGGTAGACAAGTCTCCTGGCCCTGATGAAATGCATCCCAGGGTACTAAAAGAGGTGATGGGGGAAATAGCAAATGCACTAGTAATTAGTGGTTCCAGCAGATTGGCTGTTTTCCAATGTGACACCACTGTATTAAAAAAGGAAGTAAACGAAAAGCAGGTAACTATAGGCTAGTTAGCTTATTCGTTGGTGGGGAAAATGCTTGAATCTATCATTAAGGAAGAAATAGCAAGACATCTAGATACAAATTCTCCCATTGGAAACACCCAGCATGGGTTCATGAAGGGTAGGTCATGTTTAACTAATTTGGTGGAATTCTTTGAGGACATTACTTGCATGGTGGACAATGGGGAACCTGTGGATGTAGTGTATCTGGATTTCCAAAAGGCATTTGACAAGGTGCCACACCAAAGGCTGCTACATAAGATAAAGTTGCACAGTATCACAGATAATGTATTGGCATAGTTAGAGGATTGGTTGACTAGTAGAAAGCAAAGAGTAGGGGTAAATGGGTGTTTTGCTGGTTGGCGGTCAGTGGCTAGTGGTGTGCCTCAGGGATCAGTGTTGGGACCACAATTGTTTACAATTTACATAGATGATTTGGAGTTGGGGACTAAGTGTGGTGTGTCAAAATTTGCAGATGACCCTAAGATCAGTGGTAGAGCAAAGTGTGCAGAAGACACTGAAAATCTGCAGAGGTATATAGATAGTCTCAGTGAGTGGGCAAAGGTCTGGCAGATGGAGTACGATGTTGATAAGTGTGAGGTCATGCATTTTGTTAGGAATAACAGCAAAGTGGACTATGTTTTAAATGGTAAAAAATTGCAGCACGCTGCTGTGCAGAGGGACTTGGGTGTCCTTGTGCATGAGTCGCTAAAAGTAGGATTGCAGGTGCAGCAGGTAATTATAAAGGCAAATGGAATTTTGTCTGTCATTGCTAGAGGGA